TGGCATTTACATTCGAGAATTGGCTTATCCGCATGTTGGAGCAGTACACTTCAGGTATGAGAAGGGTTGGTGATTACCGTCGTCCTGCCTACACGTCGCGATGCCTGTGTCTTGGCCCTCATGCAGGAAAAAGTGCTGGGTGCGATCGTGGACGCGAAAGCTGGATTGAGGGCTGAGAAGAGGATTGAGAAAGGGAAGCTCGCCAACATCAGGGCGGCGGGCCTCGCGGAGAAGCAGAACGCCGAAAGGCGTTGCGCACCAGGGGCCGGCTCGACATCATTCGGGGCGGCTCACGCCAGCGACGAACGCGCCCGTGCCAAAGTTCTTCAACGCGAGCTCTCAACGGCGGGTAGCCAGCGGGCAAGCGAGGGGGGAGGGGCTGCAAGGAAGTTGCCCCCGCTCGGCGCGGACATCCAAAAGAAGCTCAGCGCGCAAAATGAGGTTGATCTGGCCTACATCACAGGAGCGACGACGGAGCAGGTGGACCTCGTCCTCACCAAGGGATTTACTCAAGAACAACTTCCTTTGGAGACCGCGGTCTGTATCCTCGAGCAGGCGGTCGGTAACAGGCTGCGAGCCCCATGGGGAAACCTATCGCTGCAGGATTTCAGCGTTGTTAAGGGAGCGGGCTTTCANGGGAAACCTATCGCTGCAGGATTTCAGCGTTGTTAAGGGAGCGGGCTTCCAAATCAGTGGTTATGACGCGTATATGGTGAAGGAGTTGTGTGATAAGTACGGCGCCGACTATCAGTTGTTCATGGCATGTGATCGCGTCTCCGTGTACACCGACGGGTGGACAGTAGGGGATCCTGGGTGTCCAACGGAGGAGGAGTTAGACGGGCTATCTGAGAAGCTGGCCACCCTGCTTGTGTACGGCACCGTGAAACCCAACAATGGCACCTCACCGGAGCATCCAAGCAGCGCCAGCAGCAGCGCCAGCAGTGACGTGTTTGACTTGTCGGGCGATGGACAAGCCGGCGGAGGTGGGAAGCGTGCCCCGAAGAGCAGCAGGAAGACACGGAACACGACCAACCGTGCGAGCGAGGATGGCCTTCTGCAGTAAGTATGGACGAGGACTGTCTTTGTGGGATGTCAGTGATTTCAGTAAATGACTGATGAGACATGATTTTTGCAACTGTTTTTCAGCACATGTCCTGGGGTCGGGACACGGCCTTTGAGCTCCCACGTTGGCTTTCGTGTTGGCATGAGGTGAACGTAAATTACGGATCGACTTGAACGGCAGTTGGATGGTCGCTTGGTTGGCACCCAAGCTCGATGCAAGCTCGATGACGTCTGAATTGTCGGTACTTGTACGTTGAGATAGCTGTGCCTCTTTATACCGACTAACAGTTGTCTCGTCTGTGCCTCTCTCGTCTGTCCCTCTCCGCCTGTTGTCTTGACTGAACCCCGCAGGATGATGAGGGAGGCGTCGCAGAAGCAGGATAAGGCTTTTGAGCTCCAGTTGCAGCGGGAAGAGTTCAAGGACCGTAGGCGTTCGGACGAGAAGAAGGAGGCTGCGCAAGTGCGCAAGGAGGACAGGGACTTTGCCGAGCAGCAGCGTAAGGAGGAGAGGGAGAGGGAGAGGGAACTCCGCCAAGAGCAGTGGGACCGGGAGAGGAAGGCGCGGAAGGACGAGCGGGACGACGAGAGGCGGGAGCGGCAGGACCTACAGGACTTCGAACTAAAGAAGTTGAAGATGCAGCTGGAGCTAGCGCAGTACCAGGCACAGCTAGCGAAGCACCAGGCAGAGTCTTAAGGTCCGGAGACGGTTGCTGTGGGGTGTGGGGGGAGAGGAGAGGTGGGTGGATTTTTTTCGGGAGAGGGAAGTGGGGGTGCTGTTACACGGTGCACGCATGCCTCGTATTTTTTGGTTGGTTGAACGGAGAGAGAGCGCGTGCTTGAAAAAAAAAAACGGCGTTGCCGGGGGGGCCGGGGGGGGGTGAGTACATGTTGAGGAAGAGAAGTCTAGTGTTCCATGCACGCATGTGCCTCGTTTTTTTTTTGGTTGGTTGAACGGAGAGAGAGCGCGTGCTTGAAAAATAAAAACGACGTCGACTGGAGTTGGAGTGTTGAGTCGAAGTTCCACAGAGGGTGGGGAAGGAGGTGGAACGGCTAAGGGGCAGCCATAGAAAGGAAATAATACCACTTGCAGTACTCCCGAATTATATCGTGCATCGTGCAACCAGCCCCGCACGAAACAGATGCAAAGGCCAGACGTCATCTCAGCTGTCCAACAAACACAGAAGCACTCGGTGGAATAGGAACTAAACCACCTTTGGGGATCTTTGGTGTGGTGACAATTCTCACACTGCCTAGCCCTCGTGCGGAAACCTCCTTCTTAACCTAATGACCAGGTAGTACAAGTCCTCTCCTGATTGGGAGAAATGCTACATACCCATCTGCAACTTCCCCCTTTGCAAGCCGTAACCTTTCGGCACAAACAAGTTTCCTGTCTACCATAAGTGCGATTGGACCAACATATTTCCCTGACAAACCGCTGAGGCTTACACCTTGAGGTACTCTTCCAGCGTGGGAGGCTCTACTCCAAAGTACTGTGAAATCTGGTTGCCGCCGTTCAGGCAGGAGTGGAAGTTTGACAACAGTGTTGCTACCTTGTACTGCGTCGCTACAGGGCTCAGCAGGAACTTCTGCTGGCACTTCATGTCAACGAAGGCCCACTTGCTAGTCATCTCCTTGAACCCCCATTCGACCGTCACTCGGCATTGGCTCATGCTCTTGTTAAAGTTTCTCATCGCGGGCGTAAGGGGGCCATTGACAGATGCACTAAAAGGGCACTGTATGTGATCGGTCTGACCGTACGCTGGATCACCATACAAGCAATACGGGTGGCCTGAAGGGCTGTTCATGTGGGTCTGTAGCTTCTCAAGTAGTGCAGACTGCGCAAGCAAGTAGCCGTCGTGCCTCGTTCCAACCTCTGCGCCGTACAGGTCAACAAACAGCCCGTCTGGCGTCACGACTCCTTGGAACTTGATAGCGTGCTTCCTCTTGTACCCGTTGTAGAAAAAGCGCTGGTTGCGTATAGGCCTGAGACGCAAACATCGTCGACAACATGACGCACGGGGTGGTCGATCTATTTTCTTGCATCCGACAATGTTTTCGTGAGGTTTGCCGCATATAGCGGAGTGCATTTTCTTGCGTCGTGTTGGCAAAAGCACCTCTGGAATCTTCCCTGTAGTCTAGGGGTCGATGTTACCCACCTTGCTCCTTATTCGTAAAAGTGAACCCGTACGAGTGGTTGTTGTGGTTAGCTACCGTTCGCCAAAGTAGACATACAAATGTAGCGGGACATACATGACGCCGTTTCACCCAAGTGCTTTTTTACAACTACCACCCATCAACGGGGGCACGGCTTCCGGATCATACCTTGCAATACCGCGCACAGTTCCGTCGATGAAGGCCCAACAGTGTGTCAGGGGACAACCTTTGTTGTAAACTGCCTCCGCAAAAGTACGAAGCTTTGGTACCAGCCGTTGAACGTCCAGCGAGAGGAGGAACCCCCACTTGAAATCCATGAAGTGTAGCATCCAGTTGAAAGTCTCGCAGATACAGGATTCGCTCAGGCCGAAAACCAGACGCATGTCCTTCAAACGGCACGGGAACGCAAGTCGGTACAGCAGCACGCAAAGAGCCTCTCGTCCGCCCACCACAAAGCCACAGTCTGTCCGAATGATGGCAGGCACCATGAGCAGTTCCAGCATGAGTACGATCTGCCGCACAAAAAGATCCGAAGCAGCATGATAGTGTTTGTCAAAATACATGCAGTAGCCGTTCGTTGACAAAACACTCAACCTTGCTGTGTGCATTTCGTGCCTTCGGGTGTCGCTCTCGTCACAGCACAACTCGCGGTCTTTTGTGTGCGGTCATGGTCTATCTGTCTTTCTTTGTCCACTCCCGACAGCAGCAGGCACACACAGCAGGCACACAGCAGCAACACAGCACCAGCGCTACCAACGTCACTCAATAGATAGAATTACCTGGTCTCGGGTAAACCTCATAAATTCCATCCAATCCTGAGGGCTGAAGAAGTTGTCTACGTCCCTCCGTGCAGCACCGGTCGGGATATCATCGATGGCCAGGCGACCCAGAGTGTAGATGACCGCGACGTGGGAAGCGAACCACATGCTGGTGTANATAGGACTGCTGCCACTGCATCAGCAGCAGTGCTCGCTTCTTGCGAGCAATTCGATTTCGGATGCGCAGGCGGGACATGGTGGGAGGCCCTGGGGAAGTCTGTGGCGCTGGTGACGCCGGCAGCGTGCTCTCGGTGCGACCGTTGGGATGTGCCTGTCGGCCTCTCGGGTGTGTGATAATAAAAAAAACACGCGGCCTAACCTGTATTCCGCCGCGCCTAGATGCGGCGAGACCTACACCAATCACCACGAGACGACTGTCCACGTCATCTATATATTTTTAGGCCTGTCCTCCATCGGCCGTTTTGCTTGTATGACGGAGAATAAGAAGGTGGAATTACTTGAAATTAGTATAGAAATAAAGTTTGTGTATCTAAATCGAAAATAAAACGGCCGATGGAGGATAGGCCAATATATATTTTTTTCTTAATAATGAACTTTTGCATGAACAAGAACTTTCCCAGGAACGGTTCCCAATAAAAGTGAAAGTGAACTTTTCCGGCAAATCTTCCGAAACAGTCTATTATTACCTGGTTGCCGAGTTCACGAAGTGAATTGGCTTGTTTTACAACGTCGTTGCCAAGCGACAAACACCCAATCCCGATGGCAAACACCGATGGGGGGGCTTGTTTTACAACGTCGTTGCCAAGCGACGAAAACCTAACCCCGATGGCAAACACCCGGGGGGGGGAAGGGGTGGAGGAGCGATTGGTCAGTCTCGGGTGGAACGTTCATATCCAACAAATTGACCGCGGCGTGGGGCGGACAACATGTTCTACCGCATGGATTACAAGACAGACCAGCACAAGATTCTAAATAACATCATTGCGTAAACGCCTGCAGTCTAGAACTACACTGGTACACATTACATCTCTTCAGCTTCTGCGGTCAAGGTTTGCGTGCGGATTGCGACCAACAAAACCAGCATTGGTTTCGGGCCCTCTCACCTTGACCGCGGACTCGAGACCGAAGTACTGCGTTCCTTGAGCTTAGCAGGTGGCCGCGCATTCCTGCGACAAGGCACGACCACGGCATTGACAGAGGATTTACTGGATGTATTCATGACGTGTTTTGATCACTTGCTACACGACAGCAGCCGTGGCTATTCAGGCGAAGGGGGCATCACGCTACGGTCGGTCACCGCTTCGACGACGCAAATTTGATTTTCCGATGCATGTGAACTTAGGGTTAGGGTTAGCTTGAGGCAAACAGCGAGACACGGCCCAGGCGTCACAGTGTCATTTNGATGCATGTGAACTTAGGGTTAGGGTTAGCTTGAGGCAAACAGCGAGACACGGCCCAGGCGTCACAGTGTCATTTCGGATTGTTACTACTTCGTATAAGGGGCGGCACAGATGAAATGACGCAAAGTACTCGGTCGACGCAGCGCTCGAACCAGTCGGAAGACGCTTGTTGTGTGTCACAGGATTACGTAGCTTCGCATACAACACCAGCAAAAGGAGGCGGAGCTCGCTCGCCAGGGGAAAGCAATCGAGGGCTTCCCTCCGGAGGCGGAGCGTTGTTGCTACGCGAAATGCAACGTACTTGGTGAAGGGCCGTGCCTACCGTGCCTGCGTGGGTCTGCGAACATTGTTGTTGGATACATGTGCTGGATGATTTTGTGTCACCACGCAGACTGGTAAGATAACCGTTTGATAGGGGGCACAGAGATGATTCACGGAGCCCCTCCTTGCTGTGGGAGCCCCTCTTAGCCCTCCCTCTTTCGTCCGTGTGAAGGACGGTCGTCGACCTCTCGTGA